AGTTACCGTTCCGACGAAGTAGATTTCTGCGGACCGTTTGAGGAGACTACTCCAGACAACGTTGATATCGTGGCAACGCATTGCTTGACCCGAATTTATCGTGTCACTGAATTTGCGAACGTAATGCCTCTTCATTTATCTTAGCCCTATCTCCGCCATTGCCTTTGACCTGCATTCGTATCTCCATTGTGTGCTTCGCATTTAACGCTAAATGCGATTTGATTCTGAATTCCGTTTGCCATATTCATACGAATGTCTTATTCATTGTAAACACGGAATGAGAATAAGGTGGGAATATATGCCACGCTAAGCGGGGAATTACCGCTAACGAAGTATTTGCACATTCATCCAATACGTATTCCATTACACTTAACTTGTAGTAATAAATTAATAGTGATATCGTAATTATTATTTATAATTATGTGTGCGCGATATTAAATTATAAATAATAATTGTATGTAGAGGTATTAAATTAATCGCTGATGATTTGTGATTATGTAATTTATGTTTTACGTTATATTATTACAGAAACTACATACCTCAAGTTGCTCTTTTTTTAATCACCAAGTTGTTTAAAAAGTTTAGTAATTAGGTTATTGCTTGTAGTACGAAACATTACTAAAAAATTAGGATTAATATATGTACATACATATATATCCAAGTTAAATAATATTTATTTATAATTGTCGTTTAAATAATATCGGTTAATTGTTGCCAACACATCTCGACTTGGCACACTTAATATTTCTCATCCCAAGATAAATTCATCGAAGTTGAACTTTTGTGTATCGCAGCTTATATTCATGTGACAATCATGCTTGTCACAAAATGTCAGAACCGTTTTACAATAAAACGGGAAAAACGGGGTGTGCTTCCAGACGAAAACACACTTTCTCCGAATTGCCGTGCCATATCCGGATACGTTTTGGAGCCAAGCCAGAAACATTTTGAAAAGGAACCAGAACAGTAACTGTTGCGAGTTTTCTTCGCCAGCGCGTTTTCCTTCTGTCGTTCGGTGAAGCACAAAAGGCTTTAAGGCAATGAATATATGCAGGTAGTGACACGGAAAGCTTCACCGAGACTTGGCCTAGAGCGCTTCCTGTGATATGCAATTGCGACGCACACTGTGATGTACACGTTTGCGGGAAGACAATGAATGAAGTACGAAGTGCATGGCGCATATATACGTATGTATGCGTACATATATATGCGATATATTGATGTGTATGGACCGTAAGCAAATATCAAAAGCTGTCGAAACGATTGGAAAATGGGCGAGTGAATTTTATGAGAGAAATTCAATTTTTGTTAATTGACTCAATCGAAAAAGAAAATATTAATTATCTTTCGCAGAGACGACAATCATTTTAATGATATTTGAGGAATCAATTTATCAGTTTTGTCAACAATTTTATTTTTCAAATATTTAAAATGCGAAGAAAAAAACGTGAAATGGGAAAAAACATGAAATTGAATCTCTTGCCCATGAAAATTTCCCGATAGACGGAATAGAACATCTTGAAGTTTCTCTCTCTCTCTCTCTCTCTCTCTCTCTCTCTCTTTCTCTCTCCAGAATGAAAACCACCAGACGTACATTTAATCAGCTTCGTCGTTCGCACCAAAGCGGATTGCGAGAAAACCAGGTCGAGGATCACATCAACTGGTAACAAAAAGAATGATACGATCTCAAGAAGGTCTATACGTATTTGAAGAATTTAAGAATGCCCCGACATTCTATCGATCTTCGCGTTTGTTCTTTCCATCTTCGCGAGAATTTCGGCGATTTTTGCCAAGGTATTGCAAATTCTTTAAACATTCTGTCTTTATATTCCCTGCCGTTCTTAGTGCGTTGAACTGGCGCTCTCTGTCAATTTTTACAGTCTGTGCCAGCGTGTAGTTCCAAATATAAACTCCTTGAATGCGTCCATGCTATCCATTCTCAGTCGCTGGCTGTGGCGGAGAGTTTATTTTCTAGTTTCGTGACACGTGCACGCGAATACCGTCCTCTTTCATGGACAACCTTTCGGTAGTCTCGACGCGAGCTTTTCATTCAGTGTTCAAATGGTGCCGATATCAGTTTCCGAATATTGTTAACGAGTTGGCCAATCGATTGCAGCCAGTGTAAACGATGAATTGATTTGCTAGATTGCTAATTATGACTTTTTGAAATGCCAATGCAGCAAATGCGGATGCAATATTGTTATCATTGTTTCTTTACTGCTCTTGTTTTAATAAAAAAAAAAAAGAAAAAAGTAGAATAAATATTACCCATGTAACAAAGAGTTAGAAGTAATATTGCGAAACGAATTTAATGGATCTAGATAGAGTTACGCAAAAACGAAATTTCGTACTCGGAAATAGCGAGCAAATTATGACTTTTGAAATATTAAATTAGACACGTGAGACACATCATTTGCATTAAAAGATAAGCACCTCTCTCTCTCTCTCTCTCTCTCTCACGAGTTGTTTTACATCCGTATATGTATATGTATTTCTTTCGTAGGATGTGTATATTTATGATAAGACTATACGCGCTCGCTCTCTCTTATAAATAGAACGTAATTAAAAATAGATTTAAATCAATGCAGTCCAATGCCAATTAAAAAGATAAGCGCACGGCTCGCTGAAAAGTGTCGGAATTTTCGAGTTAAGTGGAACACAAAAATTTACGTCCAGTGAAAAGTTCTACGTTCGATGTTACAAAGTATGAGCATGTCGAAATTTTTTCGCAAGCTAATTTTTTGCGGCTGCTCGTCGCGTTCGGGTTACGATAGCCGTTCGATCGTTGTCGACGAGTCGATTGTCGACGATCCTCCGCCGAAATTCACGGACGTCCCGTATTACGAGCTGGAGCCCGATGACGTGGCGAGGCATTTTGATCTGTCCGCTATAAAATTCATCGACGACGAGGGAGCCGACGAAGATGCGGCCTGCACTAAGAACGGTAGCCGGCGATCGATTAGATTTTTCTTTTTTTATAGAAAAGTGGGCTGACGCGCGATAGGTCCGATAGTTAGTTACCCGCTAAGGGACGATATAAATAAATCGATGGGCAAAAAGTTACCGAGGACAACTGTGTGACTTTATGCGCGCGTGCACGCAGGTTTTTCGTCGGCGAATTCAGTCGTCGGCGTCGCGCAAAGATAGATTTTACCGCTTCTGAAAGGGGAGCGACGGGACCTCCTCGGATTACCGAGGATGGGGATGAGAAAGGAAAAAAAAAGAAAAAAAAAGAAAATGCCCGCGGCGCGGTTTCCTCCCGCGAGGGCGGAAGGAAAAATAAAAGGGAAGCACCGCGCCGTGCGAGAGAGATATCAAATTAATGGAAACACGGCGAGAGCTTCTCTCGCGCGGAGTAAATGAGAAACGAAGGGAATTTGTCAGGCTTACGCCGAGAAAGAAAGAACGGTGGGGGGGGGGGAAGCGCTTCACTTATTTCCATTCACCTCCGTTACACGGCCGCCGCTATATTTGACTATAGCCACGGCCCGGTAATGGCCCTCTTTGACGCGTGTTAAACGCGCGATAAATTTGCCTAATTAATCCTTCGTGAATTTCCCGAGCAGAGGAGCTGGACGGGCCGAACGGAAGTGGGCGGATACGAGACGCCTGGGTTATCGCCGTCGAAAGGTGAGATCAACTTTTTTACACGCTAAAACTCCATAGCGTAAAAGAGACGGCCGCGCATCCCGAGCGCGTACGTTGCAGCGTACGTGTATATACGTGCACATAATGTACACACGTATGCGAGATCTAGTGCCCCGCTTCTAGTAAATGTACATTCCTGTGCCGGGGCGGAATCGTGTATCGATTAAACGTCACATAAAAGGCGGCGGTGTCCAGCGGGCGAGCGTGTTTTTGATCGAACGGGAGGATGCGTCATCTAAATGTCACGAGAATCGCTCGAAAGCAGCATGCGTTCCAATCGAGCCGATAATGACAGCTCGTGATGAGGTGTCGTGAAATCAGGGAATTCGCTCTCCCTGATATCTTCTCTCTGTCTCTCTCTCTCTCTCTCTTTTTTTTTTTAGTCTACTAATATCGATCCAGGTGACGTTGTCCTTTGTTGAGGCGCGGTGATATTACTATTAGCAGCGCGATATTAATAATAACGATAGAATTAATCTTTCTCTCAATTCATGTTACTTATTCTATCATCTTTTTTTCTCGAAATGTAGAATCTGTTATTACGTTTAATCT